GTGAAATAATAAAATGCCAGAATGGGAAGCTAAGCAAATGTATTACCAGATAGGGAAGTGTTGCCTGATTTGGGATTATGCAAATGTTGCACAATTACAAAACAGCCCCTGTCAGTCAGCGTTTGAAAGCGAGAGAGAGAAGGCGCGCGCGAACACTCCTGCACTGACCGTCGTGCTTCCCGGTTTCTCGCTTCCACCATCCCCATTGTTGCCCTAAAAACGCCGGCAAGCTGGACAGTTGAGGACCCCGAAATAGTGTGTGCGTAAGAGAGCAGAGGAGTTGGAAGTGGAAGGGCGTGCTGTTCGAAGGGCGAACGTGGTCGCGTCTGACTGATTGTGTGGAAAGACGAAGGTTGGCGCACGGTGATTCACCATTGCAGTTAACAAGCATCAACAGCATTTCAGTGAGGTAAGTTCAGGCATTTAAGTTTCGTGCTGTGGTCGACGTTTCTGGGTGAGTCTGGGAATCAATGATAGGGCAATATTTAGATATGACGCGATGAAGTTTGTGAATGACAGGAATGGCGATTAAGGGTTTATGCTGAGTCGCTATGGCAAGCTATTCTGTTTTTAATAACGTAGTTGAGAACTGGAAAAATGGGTTTTGAAATCAGTAGGAAAATTGTCTGATTGACTGGAAAAATTATATGAACAACTGGAAATGACAATAACATACTGGTAAATGACTATGATCGAACCTAAAATGACCATATTCATAGTAATGACCTTACTGTCTGAATGAGTGGAAAGATTATATGAATAAACTGGAAATGACAATACCAAACTGGTAAATGACTATGAAGGAACTTGAAATGACCATATTCATAGTAATGACCTTACTGTCAGACTGTAATGGCCATGTTGGTAATGACAATGAATTAAGTGGGAATGACCATATTCATATTAATGACCTAACTGTTAGTCTGTAATGGGCATATTGGTAATGACAATAAGTTAACTGGAAACGACCATATTCATACCGCATCCTTACTGTCACTCTGTAATGGCCATATTGTAAATGACAATGAATTAATTGGAAATGACCATATTCATAGTACTGACCTAACTGTTAGTCTGTAATGGGCATATTGGTAATGACAATAAATTAACTGGAAACGACCATATTCATACCAGCATCCTTACTGTCACTCTGTAATGGCCATATTGTAAATGACAATGAATTAATTGGAAATGACCATAACGAATCTGGAAAGAACTAGATGTGTAGTAAATGTATTAAAATTATGATTTAATGATGGTACCTTGATGACTTTGCAGAACTATACGAGATGGTGTTGGAAGAAGGGGAAGGGTCCACAAGCAAAGGAGTCCACAGTGGGCTTGTGTTGTTCAGAAGGGAGTATATGGCTAAACGAGGTGAGAAGTGTAAAAACGCAAGAGAAGAAAAAATTGAAGTGGGGAAGGCATGGAGGGCCCTGAGTGAAGAAGAGAAAGATAGGTATAATGAGAGGGCAAGGAAAACGAAGCCACAGAAAGGTGAGAAGAAGAAGTATGATGTTCCCTTGTACACCCGGTGCTCATTGCCCGGATTTCTATCATTGGCTGAATATGTGAAGAAGAACAGGCGGTTGAGGCAGAAAGTTCAGAGGATGGGATTTGGGAACTTGCTTAATGTGAATGTGAAGCAACTTCCACGTGATCTACTTGTGTCATTGTTGAGATGCTATGACCCACCAACGCATTTTTTGACCATTAGAGGGCAAGGGCAGGCAATTGAGGCAAAAGATGCGCATGAGTTTCTAGGTGTACCTGACAGTGGGGAGGAAGTGAAATCTGATGTTAGTGAGGATGACCCGGAATACAAGAGGTTGAAGGACACTTATTGGAAGGTTCCATTTACCCAGATACTGAAGAGGATATTATCTGGGGAAGAAAGCGACAATTTTGAGTTCCTATTTATGCTTTATACAGTTGGAGCTTTTCTATGTCCTGGGTCAAGCACAACTGTACATATACGTTTGTTGAAAGTGATGCGTCACACGATGAATGGGTTTTGGAAATATGATTGGTCAACGTACATAATCAAGAACCTGTGGAAGGAAATGGGAGACTTTGTGAAGATGACAAAGAAGAAGAAGAAAGGAACCTGCAATGTTGGAGGGTGTCTTTATTTGCTGCTGGTAAGTCAATATTTTTCTTATGGTTCACTATATTTTTGTCTTTTGTTATTGTTGCAGAAGTGTGACCTATCTTTATTTGGTTTTGCAGCTGTATTTTGTTGAGCGTTTCCCGCTGGGATTGTCTGTTGACCGGGGTTCAACAAGCGCCATTGAATATTGGACCGAGGAGAAGATAAAGGAGAGGGTGGAGAAAGAGAGAGGTAGCAGCATGGGAATATTGCATGGAAGCAGTGGCAGCGAGGTATACTCAGCAGGACATGAGGACAGTCAATTTTGCAGTCTTTAGATCCGGTATGTGGGAACTTAGAAAATATACGTGACCTGAGTTTAAGTCAGTCTATTAGCAAGGTTGATACTTGAGATGACAAGACTTTATTTAGAAATGACCAGTGAGATACTGGCATTTGATAACAGTGAACAATTTTTTTGATATCTTCATTTACTGTGTATGCAGGCATTGAAGGAGTTGAGGGCTCGTTTTGTGAAGAAGCTTGAAGAAAGCCAGAGGACGTTAATGAAGGCTCTTGATGATGAGCTACTCAAATTGCAGATTGGATTGAACGCCAAAGTTAAGGGGATGGGGAATGAGAATGCCACTGCTAAAGAAGGGGTTGAAACAGTTGGTGATGCAGCTGGTAACGATGCTGAAGAAGCTGATGATGTTGACCGAGTGGTGGAGGAGATTGCAAGAGAGGTTGCAGCGGGAAGTGCAGATGAGGAACTTGATGAGGATGAAACCAGCAAAGGAGATGATGAGAAGGATGAGGATGAGGAACAACATGACCTTCATGACAGGGAAGTCAGTGATGATTACATGGTTGAGGAGGTGGAAGAAGAGGGTGACCGTGATGGTCATGGAGGTGATGACGACGACGATGAGGATGAGGAGGAAGATGACCATGATGACAGGGAAGGAGGTCATGTGGTTGATGAGGAGGAAGATGACCATGATGACATGGAAGTCAGTCATGATTATGTGGTTGAGGAGGCCGAAGATGATGATAAGGAGGTTCGGGATTCAGATGATGAGGGTGAGGAAGCTACACATGTACTGACAATGACCCCTACCAATGTTCCTTTGCTGTTGGATCGAGAATGGGTGAGCAGTGACAGTGGGGAGGAAGGAGGGCCTGAAAAATCGATTGACCTTAGGAGGTCAACAAGGGCAAAGAGTTCCACAATTAAATCTCCGTGGATAGAATTCAAGGCAGCTTCGAGGACGAAGAGGCCAAAGGAGGAAAGGGACATCTTTTTCACTTTAATATCCCGTAGACCCAAGGGAGAGGAAGAGGGGAATATGTAAGTATATCCGTAGCTAGTGTTTTGTTTTTAAATGACACAGTGTGCCCTGAAAATGACAGCAATAGGATTGAAAATGACAATAACATACATGGGAATGACAAGTATTGATGTCCCCAACACCATACTTTCTGTCACTGACATCTGACAATGTTTGCAGGACTGTCATCAAAATGTTTGATGAAGATATAGACCGACAACAGCTGTTTTCCCTGGGTGGAGTGAACAGAGTAAATAAACACAGGGTATAATGTGCATCTGACCTGCACCCACGATTATGTTTGATAATGTTTGGTGAGATTATTGTACCAGAATGACGTTTTCACTTGTGTTCTGTAGGTGCTTAATTTGGTGTGCAAGGCAGTGATGGAGGACATGAAGGCAGAGTTGGGGCCAGGGAAGAGGCACATTTTCGATGTTGATTTCATGGTGAGGTTGCATAATTCCAAATGCAAATACCAATGACAGCAATTGAATTGGAAATGACTTGTTCTCTGTTAATGGATTAACAATTTCATGTCATGCAGAACATGATGGCACATGATCCAACCTGGAAAGCCCAAAAATATAAGAAGCTCTTTCTTCCTGAGTTCGTTGGCTACAACTTAGCTGAATGTGATTTCATAATTGGTCCTGCTCTTGTTGGCCAACACTGGTTTTGCGTTGCCATTCAGCCTAGCACATTGGATTTCCACGTAATAGACTCCATGAGGAACCATTTCGGAACCAAGGACAGAAAGCAGAAGAAGAAGGTTGTCATCAAAGACCCAGTGGAAATGGCTGTGGATGATTGTGTAAGAAAAAACTCATTATCTTTACCCTAGTTTTTGAACTTGGAAAATCATTAAACTTTCTATGTTGGTCCTGAATGTTGTTGCAGAGGAAGAGGCTCAATATTATACTGGACTTGGTCAAGCCAGGATTGGTTGGGAAAAAGCCAATGTCTCCCATGATATTTGCAGCAGTTCCCCAGCAGAATAACCTGTCAGTTTTGTCAAATTCGATTTCTGTGGGGTAAATGCACATGTCAGATGTGTTAACTAACTGTGCTGATATTGTTGCGTCCACAGAGGGATTGTGGGGTGCACTGCATGATGTGGCTGAGAAGATGGGAACCTGGTGTGACCCTTACCTACACAGAGGAAGAAGTTGCTGGCTTTCGTCGTGACCTGACATGGTGGTTGGTCAATCATGAACAGAATGAAAAACGTGACGAGGCATTGGCCCTTATTCGACGACCACAACCAACCAAGAGCACAAAGTCCAAGAAAAGGCGTCGGTCTTAGGTGTCTCGATGTTAGGGTCATAATTCACTTGTCCTCTGTTAGATTGCTGTATGTAATGTGCATTGTAGGCTGACCAAAAATTTACTGTGTATGTTTGTTATTGTTAACAAGAGATTGGTGTCCATAAATGTTGATAGTTGAAGAAAGTTTGAACATGACAATTTATTGTTTCCCCAGTGACATGAATGAACTGGTTTAACCACACAAAAACAGATGATGACAACAACCCCATTGGACATGTGCTATTGGTTTTCATTTTTTGTTCAGGTCACTAAATTTTACTTCAATATATCCTGTTGGTAGCACAGAAAATGACCAGAACAAATTTAAAAATGACACGAAGTGAAGCGAATATGACAGCGATAATGACAAGGATCACCTGGTCTGATTTTACAACATCAGTTCAGCACGGCTGTCAGCTTATGCTGATATCATCACTGCCAATGACCAGAACAAATTTAAAAATGACACGAAGTGAAGCGAATATGACAGCGATAATGACAAGGATCACCTGGTCTGATTTTACAACATCAGTTCAGCACGGCTGTCAGTCTTATGCTGATAGCATCACTGCCAATGACCAGAACAAATTTAAAAATGACACGAAGTGAAGCGAATATGACAGCGATAATGACAAGGATCACCTGGTCTGATTTTACAACATCAGTTCAGCACGGCTGTCAGCTTATGCTGATAGCATCACTGCCAATGACCAGAACAAATTTAAAAATGACAACAAGTAATGCGCCATTAACAAAAGCTAACATCCCCATAACAGTAACTTCCTTTCATGTATTCAACAAGTGGACATTAAGATACTAGCCACACTTAATGCTCCGTTATCACTGAAATAACTATCAGCTTACTTACAAAAAAATGTCTCCACCTAGCTCCTAACTACAACCCCAGTCCCAAAAAAGTTGACAAGGGCGGAGCATACAACTATGTACACCAAAAAATGACCCATCCCCACTGTACTCGAAACTTCATGATGGGTTAGGATTTCTGCAATTCCTCCTTGTGTGTCCAGGCTGGTGGCATCTTCCACAGTGGTATATCCGTTTGTTCTGGAACTGTGATTCATCCCTGTTTACTTTTGGCCTTCCTGGTGGTCGGGATGTCATGGGAGGTAGCAAGAAAACTTGCTCACTGACATTTTCTATTCTATAGTAGTCATTTGGGTGAGGCATGTCTGTTGTTACCACAGGAATCATACTGCGAGCATAGATCTTTTCTTGTGAGATTTTTTTATAGCAATTATCAATATAATCATAAACATTGCCGTGCACAATCTTGATGGCAGCACAAGCATGGGAACAAGGGATCCCCGTCATTTGCCAAGATCTGCAACTGCATTGGTGTAGTCCAAGATCAACCCGATGGTCTCCACGTGATGTTGTCACCTTCACTCTTCCCCCACCATAATTTTCAGCATACATATGGTCAGACCCAGCCACCATATCCAGCACCTTACTCTCTATATTTGGACCAACGCAATTCTTCCATTTGGTCATACCCACATAGGAGGCATGCAGCTTTCTTGCAACTTTATCTCGGTGCTCATAGATCAATTGGGGTACAGTATGCTTTCTCTCATTCACCATCCATGCATTGAATGATTCTGCTATATTGGTTGTAATATTGTCCCATCTTTTATAGGAACCTACTTTTAGCCCACCTATCTACATCCCCATGATGAATAAGCCAATCAAATAGCCTTGGAGAAAAGGATCTCATGTCATCCATTGCTGCCTCAAATTTCTCATCCGTCCTTGCGTATGCAATTTTATCCAATAAATATAGTGCATCCTCCTTTGATCGGCCATTTGTCCTTGTTTGCCCCTTATTCATTTTCATAACTTCTGAACTAAAATTCTCCTTGATGTGTCTATAACAAAAGGCATGCCTTTGACCCCCAAAGATTGATGCCACTCCTCCGATGATAGCATTGTGTCGATCTGATACAATCGTTACTTCCACAGAACCCAGGATTTTTTTTATCATATAGAAAAACCACGTCCAGTCATCTAGTGTTTCTCCCTTCACAATTGCAATTGCAAATGGCAGCAGCTCGTTATCTGCATCATAAGCTGAAGCTGACAACATTGTCCCCTTGTATGGTCCGCTTAAGTGAGTTCCATCAACATACATAATATGCCTCGCGCCACCCAGGAAACCCTCAATGCATGCCCCGTAAGCAATGAAAACACGCTCAAACCGGTTCCCAATAGCAGTCCATTCAGCCACTGATTTTTCATCTGTTTCCTTTATCCTTTCGCATAGCCATGGTATGAGCATGTATGATTGTTCGGGCCTGCCATATATGTCTTCCAGTGACTTCTCTCTTGCTCTATAAGCCTGTTTATATGTTAGATCAATCCATACTCTCGTTTCAACCTCTTCCTTATCTCAGAAGTGCGCTTGTCTGCATGATCCCTCATCTCATCAATTATTATTGATGAGTTCAAACTAGCTCTTCCACTATGCATCACGTCCAAGCTATCTTGGGCAGAATGAACATGCCGGTTTATAAATGTCGTCACTCGTAGCACATCACAACTCTTCCCCACATGATTTGCACATAGCTTCCATGGACAACCCTCAACTTTACACCTTATCGACATGAATTCCTTGCTATTCCTCATATACTTGGCCACAAACTTGTTTGCAAGTGCAAACTTGTATACAGACACCCGAAATACATCTGCACTAGGAAAACGTTGGCCCACTCCTGTTAAAAGTCCCCTCCATTCCGCATGAACCATCTCACTACCATCCGTATCTTCAGCTCCGATAGATTTATCCACATTAGGGGGCCCACTTATTTCATCATTGTCACATTCACGAGCATTTTCTTCACTGAGCCAGCCATAATCACAACACAAACTAATGGGAGACGCATCCAGTTCAGTTTGCTGTGACATGCCCATGAATCTCTCTGTTCTGCATTCATAATGACAAGACTCGTTAACACAAATGACAAGAAGAAATTCATAAATGACAACAAATAGTTAGGACAAACTCCACTTACATTTCTACATTGTCCCTTGGTTGGGGACCCACTTGTCTTTTTTCGGCGACATACACATGACCGCTGTTCCCATTGTATTGAAAGAGGTTATACATTTCAGCATTGTCATGAAGGTCAATCAATGTCTTCTCATCAAAGGCCACTGTGTACTTAATGTCATAATTTCTTCCATCGCCACCAATCCACTCAGATATCATTAGCCTCAATTCATCAAGTGTCAGCCCATCCTTAATGCTTCTTAACCTCACGCCACCTCCATTATATCTCACTTCACCTTCACCATTTGTCACAAATTTCCCCCCCACATGAAAATAACAGAACAGCTCCTTCCCACAAGATGACCCAGCTGCGAAATTCATTTATCTTCATTACCTGCACTGATAACATAACAGAAGTCGAATGATTATATGACTTAATACCATCATCATCAACTTACACGACCAACTTAGGGTTTGACACATTCATGCTTATAATTTGCAACAAAACAATCATTTCTTTCCTGTCCACACTAATGCTTCGTTTTCTCAGAATCAATCCACTCCATTATTCGAATCTCCCTCCAACATTGTCCATTTATCTGACACTAATCACTCTAACCCACTTGTGACGCCATCAAACCCTCTCCCTCAGTGTTTTTCCTTCCCCCTGCATTCACCCTCTGATCACCGTCCTTCCCCCCACACTTTCTATATACCCACGCCGTCTCCATGCTTCGCCACCCTCTCCACCTCAAAACCATCCCCACATCGACGACATTGCCATCCAACGGGAAGAGGAAAATCAACCGGCGCATAAAGGAGAGGGACAAAAGACACAGGCGAACAATATAGTCACTGGATACTAACCTCGCTTCCGTCGTTCAGTTGTTGCTTCGCGCGTTCATGCTCCCACGTTCGTGGTCCCTCCCAACTTTTTCCTCCAGCTCCCGCCACAACTTCCACACTTCCACCGGTCACTTTTTCGGTTTGCATATGAGGGGCTGTTTTGTAATTGTGCAACATTTGCATAATCCCAAATCAGGCAACACTTCCCTATCTGGTAATATATTTGCTTAGCTTCCCATTCTGGCATTTTATTATTTCAGCCTTCTTTATCTGTCATTTTCCCTATAAGAAACAACTAATCATTATTTTATTTATTTATTAAAATTTTATCTTTTATCATTATATTAAGGTAGTATCATTAAATACATATTCATAATATCGAATAATAATGTAATTTTTTCTAAAAAAATAGAAAAAAAATACTTAGGCAAGTTCCTTATATCTTTTATATTAAGTTCTCCAATTATACTTCTCCACTCCTTAATATAAGATTTTTTTTACTAATTTGATTAGATTAAGAAAATTAGATAAGTTAGTTAATTATGAAGAATATGAAATATTTTTCTCAAAATATTATAATCATCTTTACTAATATCCTTTCTCCCTCACTTGATTATGGTTAATGGAGTATTCATAGGGGTAATTTAAAAAAAATTGATAAGTATAGTAAATAGGTCTTATATTTAGTATCAAAATTAACTTAACAATTAGGTTATATATTAAGAACAGGAGGAGTACATAGTTATATGTCCTATTTTATTTATGTGGGGTTTATAAAATGATAATATTTTAAATATAAAAGGCATGACCATGTTTGATTATAGGGAAAATTTCACTGTAGGACCGCAGAAGACAATTAATATCAAAGAGCCCCCAAAACTTTCTGAAACCTCACTGCAGGACCAAGGGACCAATCTGATATTAATTTTAGAGTGAGATTACAATAATACCCCTCCCTTTTTATTTTATTAAAAAATAAATATTTACCGGAGTTACTGTTCCGGCCACCGAAGGTCGGAGGTCCGGCCACCGGCGCTCAGGTGGCCGCCGTCGAGGTCCGGTCACCGGTGGCCGGAACAGTAACTCCGGCGGGACCTCCGGTGGCCGGAGTTTTTTTGTTTAAAACAAAGTGGCCAAGGGATGGTTTGAACCCAGGACCCCTTGGTACACCAAAAGACTTGTAACCACCAAGCCAAGCAACCCATTCAATCATAAAATGCAAATAAAACTATATATAACAAAATAAACGCAACAGTCCAAATGTAAGTGAACAAGTGAAATTAGACGATTTACAAGTGGAATTCAGAAATTTGCAACAAAAATTAGGAAATTTACAAATAACATAATAGAAGTCATAACCCAAAATGCAAGTATTTAAATGCAAATGAGCAAGTAAAATTTACAATAAAAGTTTATGGATTTACAACCCAAATTTGGTAAACACAAGAGAATTCACAACCCAAAATGTAAGTGTTTGAGTGTAAGTGAACAAGTGAAATTAGACGATTTACAAGTGGAATTCAGCAATTTACAACAAAAATTAGGCAATTTACAAATAACATAATGGAACTCACAATCCCAAATACAAGTGTTTAAGTGTAAATGAACAAATAAAATTTGAAGATTTACAACAAAAGTTTATAGATTTGCAAGTGAAATTCGACAATTTCACTTGCTTATTTGCACTTAAACACTTGCATTTGGGGTTATGACTTCTATTATGTTATTTGTAAATTGCCTAATTTTGTTGTAAATTGCTGAATCACACTTGTAAATCGTCTAATTTCACTTGTTCACTTACACTCAAACACTTATATTTTGGGTTGTGAATTCTCTTGTGTTAGCCAAATTTGGGTTGTAAATCCATAAAATTTTATTGTAAATCTTTAAATTTCACTTGCTCATTTGCACTTAAACACTTGCATTTGGGGTTATGACTTCTATTATGTTATTTGTAAATTGTCTAATTTTTGTTGTAAATTGCTGAATGACACTTGTAAATCGTCTAATTTCACTTGTTCACTTACACTCAAACACTTACATTTTGGGTTGTGAATTCTCTTGTGTTTGCCAAATTTGGGTTGTAAATCCATAAAATTTTATTGTAAATCTTTAAATTTCACTTGCTCATTTGCACTTAAACACTTGCATTTGGGGTTATGACTTCTATTATGTTATTTGTAAATTGTCTAATTTTTGTTGTAAATTGCTGAATGACACTTGTAAATCGTCTAATTTCACTTGTTCACTTACACTCAAACACTTACATTTTGGGTTGTGAATTCTCTTGTGTTTGCCAAATTTGGGTTGTAAATCCATAAAATTTTATTGTAAATCTTCAAATTTCAATTGCTCATTTGCACTTAAACACTTGCATTTGGGGTTATGACTTCTATTATATTATTTGTAAATTGCCTAATTTTTGTTGCAAATTTCTGAATTCCACTTGTAAATCGTCTAATTTCACTTGTTCACTTACATTTGGACTGTTGCGTTTATTTTGTTATATATCGTTTTATTTGCATTTTATGATTGAATGGGTTGCTTGGCTTGGTGGTTACAAGTCTTTTGGTGTGCCAAGGGGTCCTGGGTTCAAACCCTCCCTTGGCCACTTTGTTTTAAACAAAAAAACTCCGGCCACCGGAGGTCCTGCTGGAGTTACTGTTCCGGCCACCAGTGACCGGACCCCGACGGCGGCCACCTGAGCGCCGGTGGCCGGACCTCCGACCTCCGGTGGCCACCTGAGCGCCGGTGGCCGGACCTCCGACCTCCGGTGGCCGGAACAGTAACTCCGGTAAATATTTATTTTTTAATAAAATAAAAAAGGAGGGGTATTATTGTAATCTCACTCTAAAAATTAATATCAGATTGGTCCCTTGGTCCTGCAGTGAGGTTTCAGAAAGTTTTGGGGGCTCTTTGAAATTATTTGTCTTCTGCGGTCCTACAGTAAAATTTCCCCTTGATTATACAGCTTGACACAATGAATATAAAAAAACTTGATATAAATATAGTCTTAAAAAATAAATCAAAGATATGCTAATTAATTTTTTCGCCACCATGATGGTCTATTCATATATAAAGCTCCAACATATTGGCACTTATGTTGAGGTGATGCTTCGAATTCCAAGAAGGTTGAACCAGTCTTTATTTTATCTAAGTCAAGATATAATTAATCTGCATGTAATAAAATGTACGACGATGAATAAAACTATTTAACATGCCTGTGATTCGGATCCATTTTATAATACTACTTTCTGTTCTAAGAGATTATTTTGAAACTATTTTAAAAAAATAGATAAATATAATAGACAAAATAAATTGAGATTTTATATTTAAAACCAAATTGAATATCAAACTAGCTCTTATATTAAGGATTGAAAATAATATTTAAATTTATTCTCATAATAGCTAGCAAAAAAATTTATGCTAATAAAGTTACTTGAAGTGTTTTTTTAGTTATTTGAAGTGTTTTTTTGCATGTTAAAATATACATTTGGTCATTTAACTTTATGTAAGATTTCAATTTGGTCTCTTAACTTTAAAAAGTATATTTTTAGTCTTTTAACTTTAAAATTGTTAGTCTTAAATGATGATTTTTTTGCAACAATTATAGTAGTTTTGAATATTAAACTTAATATGTTAGGTTTTAGTAATATTTTACAGTATTCAAGAACTAAATATCATTATTTTTTTTAATACTTTTAGAGTTAGAGGATTAAAAATTTACTTTTTAAAGTTAAAAGATCAAAATAAAATCTTACATAAAATTAAAGGATTAAAAGTATACTTTAACCTTGTTTATATTTTAATTGTTGATACGACCTCACTCTTAGTGTCTCCTTAGATCTTATTTAAATATAAGGTCGTATCCTATAAGTAAGTATGCTGGTTCTTGAGTTGTTTTCGTTGAGTGTGAGATTAAAAAAACAAAAAACAAAAAAAAAAGTCCCTTGCATTTGTTGAAAAATTTATACATAATTCAGATTAATTAGGAGAATCAAAATATGAAGTTTTGGAATGCCATTTTCCCTAATTTATCAAATCTAATATACAAAACTAGTAAATAAACTATAAGTTACGGCACAACGTATTCAAATTAGATCTGATTTTTTCTCAGTTCTTGACTTCGCACACATGACTTCAGTAATTTCTTAGATCCGTTTTTCAGGGGCAATCTAAATAATTTAAACATATCCGTACGTTTGATTTTCAACTTCCAAATCTGTAGGGTAATAATAGTTTGTAGCAAGCTTGGAGGGGAAAAAGCTTATTATAATTTTTAAATTTATAATAATATTTGAGATGAGACAACAGAAAGCATGGCACGTGATTAAATTTCTTTCAGTGACCACCTAATTTATTGGTTTCTTCTTCTAAAGTCACTGATGACTTAAACATACAATAGTTTAAGTAGACCGAGCTTCTGGCAAGGCAAGTGCACATGGTACAGCTTGCAATATTAATGCAGGAAAATATATCTACTAGATCCCACCTTTAATATAAGAGCTCATTAACTAATTTGAGTAGATTAAAAAAAATTAGTTAAATTAGTTATTTGTAATAAATATGTGTTGTCTTTTTTAGAATATTCTTATTATTAATCAAGTATATTGGCTGGAACTATTATTATTGCAAGGATTATCTTAGAAAAAATAGATAAACATGAGAGACAAAGTGAACTGCGTTCTTATATTTATAACCAAAATAAAAATTAAACAAGTTTTTATATTAAGGACCGGAAATAGCATATATAATTTTTTTATGCCAAAGAAAAGAGCGCAATAATTAAAATTAAAAATAAAAAGTTGAAAAAGATAAATTAATGGATTGAATCAAGAAAGCATTTTACCATAAAATAATTTAATAGTAGCAGTAGTAGACAACCACTGCAATGCTTAGACATCTAGTTAACACTGATATTGTAATACAACAAATTTTATTGCATGTTGTATAGTACAGCAATACAAGATATTTGTTGTGGAAAAATACTGATCCGTAGCAAAATCAACTAATTTTACAGTTTTCAAGTGGTACTCGTAATTTCTAAATTTGCAGAAAAATACGTAATTTTCTAAGTGTTCTTTACTGAAATTAATGACACAATAAAATATTGTTTGAAAATTGAAAACATGCCGAAACTCATTGCAACTAGGAGTGAGAAAATTAAGAAAAAAAATTAATTGCCATAATTTTACTCTATACTTAGGATTAAGTAAATTTTTAAAATTTTATCCTGAAGTAAGAGTGTTTTGTGTTATTGGAATTAATTATTACAATTACAAGATTGTTGAACATAATATCATTGGGGCTTATTTTAGTGCCACGCATTTTTCACGGTGCTGACTTGTTGATTTAGTTTATAGATCACTTTTAAAAATTATTCTTTATTGTAAAAAAATCACTTCAAAAATAACATAAAAATTGAAATTGAACATCAACTGTATCCAAAAAAAAGAAAAGAAAAGAAATTGAACATCAATTAAATCCGATTATGAATTTGTTTGAATTTATGCGTCATTCAAATTATTTATAGAAGGACCACAATTTGGAGTTTTTGGATGCCACATGTTCCCTGACCAATCACCAAAACTGATGATTAATAAAAATAGATAAAAACATAACTTATTATTATATTCAACCACACCATAACAACAACACATGAAGATTATTGAGACCTTTCTGAGATTGCATTAAAATTAAAAATATATTTAAAAAAAAGTTTCCCTTACAAAGCAGGGTTGAAGTTCTTCAGCATCATATCAAGGACTTTTTCTAGATTCTGATAAGATGAACCACCGGGCCTAGTCGCCGCCTCCGCCTTCTTCTTCCACTCCAAAGCCTTCTCCTTCATCTCCTTCCCCTTCTCCGACGACCCCTCCATCACCTCCACCACCATCCTCCTTACCTCCTCCCTCTTCACGTCCGGCCCTACCTCCATTCCCGTACCCCACTCAACACACGCATACCGGCAGTTCGTCTGTTGCTCGGCAAAAAACGGCCAGCACACCATCGGCTTCCCAGCGCACACGCTCTCCACCGTCGAGTTCCACCCACAATGCGTCAAAAACCCTCCGACCGCCGGGTGGTTCAGCACCTGTTCCTGTGAGCACCAGCTCGCTATGAGCCCTCTTCCTTCCGTCTCTTCCTTAAACTCCTTGGAGAAAATCACGGAACCGCCTTCGACGAGGTCGGGTCTGACCACCCACAGGAACTGGCACTTGCTGGCGGCGAGACCCCAAGCAAACTCGGCCAGATGGTCGGAGGTCATGGTGGTGATACTGCCGTAGTTAACGTAAAAGACGGAGCTGGGTTCTTGAGAATCAAGCCATTGGAGACAATGGGTGTCTTCTTTCCAGAGGTTGGAGCCTATGGAGGACATGAGCTTGTGGTTTTGAGGAATTTGTTGGAGGAGGAGAGGGAGAGGGCCGACGGTGAAAATGGGAGCAGAGTAGATGGAAGAAAGATATTGCAGGGAGGTTTGTTCAAATTCGTCGAAGGTGTTGATGATGATCATGGTGGCTTCATGAGCTGCTTTGACTTCTCCGATGAAGTAGTTGAGCATTATGTCGTTTGGGTCGGTGGTTCTGATGAAACTTGGGATGTCCCTTAATCTGAGGTTGTCGATTCCTGGAATCCAATCCACTTTCGTCTCCAGGAATCCATTTGTCAGACAACTCTCATCTGCCCCAAAAACACACACGTTAATTAGAAATACAAGTAATAATTTGAAGTTATAATTGAGATATCGAACCTCTCACTTGTAAGTGAACTTAGTTTTTATAGCATTAGGCTATATATAATTTCTAACTTCTAACAAGACTGAGACACTGATTGCATGAAAGAACAGACCCACCTTCTTTATTATTGCGAGCAAGAGTATAGGGCAGAGATGTCTTTTCATCAATTTTAATTTACAATTTGAAAATTAATTTTATTTAACATGATATTTTAAAAACAAAAATCAAAATAAAAAGTTCATTTAAATCTCAGCATCGCACATGTTGTTAATTAAGAACCACAAGACTGGCCTGCGATTCCAAGGCCAAACAAATCCCATGTGATGAAAACTGATATGTATGAAAAGCAACATCTATTTTGGGACATAGAAACCTAAAACCCCCAACGTATGCGAAAAAGAACTACAATATAAGCCAATACAACATCAAATATGGATGAGATCTGTGGCGTGTAAACCATATATTTCTGTTTTTGAAGAAGAAGAAGAAGTACCTTTGAGTGGAACGAGGCCTTGATCAACCAGATAGCGATACTGGGCATACCCAACAAAGCCACAAGCACTGGCAGTCCAAAACAACGCGCTAGGAATTCCCAAAGCATTAGCAGCTTTGAGGGAAAAGGTCATGACCCCATCGAAGACGACACAGGTGATGGGAGGGACATGGCCGGCAGAGGCCGAGCTCTGAAGGCGACGGAGAAGCCTGACAAAAGGGTCGAAGCAGGTGGTGCTGGTGGAGTGGCAGAGAGAAGGGATGTGTTGGGTGGCGTCGGCGTCGGAGGGAGGAAGGCCGTCGGGGATGGTCTCGTAGCGGAAGTCCGGGAGGCCGTCGACGGCGTGAGGACCTCTGCTTCGGAGCAAGCGCTTGTGGTTGAACTCAGAGTTGACGAAGGTGATATGGAAGCCTCTGGAGTAAAGAAGCTTGGCGAACTTCATCATTGGGTTCACATGGCCTTGAGCTGGGTATGGAATCATCACGGCATGGGGCTTCACTTCGCATATGGAACCCATCTCTCTCTCTCTCTCTCACTGTCTGTTTGTGTCTAACTTAGAGAGAGAGTGTATGTAAATCTCTTATCTCTCACTGCACTGCTGAGTAAGAGCTGTGTGATGTGGGCTAGTTCTTGATGAGCGCCTGCTTATTTATACACGAATGGAGGATTCTGATATTATATTTTGATCAGGAAATATAAAATAGGGTACTCCCGATCCTTAATATAAATCCTATTTAATTAATTTGATTAGATTATGAAAATTTGGTGAGTTAATTAATTATGATGAATATGACATGTTTTTCTTAAAATACATTAATTATCATCATTACATCCTCCCTCCTTTTCATATTTGATTATGGTTGAGGGAGTATCAATAGAGGTGATTTGAGAAAAATTGATAAAATATAAAAAAAAAAATAGGTCTTATATTTATATTTAGAACCAAAATTAACTCTATAATTAAGTTATATATTAAGGGGCAGAGTATTGTTCAAATATAGGCTCCATTTGACATGAAGCGCCACTGGGTGGTTGGGGTTCGGATTCATATTGGTGTAGCTCGTTTTAACATGTTTGGCACGAGGATCTAAATAATACTTTCAAAATTATTCATGGAATTGAACATCATTTTGACCAAATTATTCCTGTAATATTTTACAAACTCCTATTTTTATTTATTAGAAGGGTATACAAGTCTTGTCTCAAAATATTATTCCATGGCAAACATAAAAGGCTTATTCTGGCCCACTCCAACTCCTACTCCCAATCCCTTGAAATTCTGATCCGCGTACCAAATGGGCCCATAATGTGTCGCCACCATTTCATTGCTTAACATAATACATAAGCGCTACTTAATTCATTTGGATTGATTGAGAAAGTTAGTTAAATTATCTAAAGATATAGTATGTGGTATGATCTACTTTAAATATACTTCTATATAGCATTACATTATACTACCTCCACTTCTTAATATAAGACCCTGTTTGACTTTTATTTTTATCCTAAGTATAAGGTAGTCCTTCTAATAATTATAGTTCTAGCCAATATAGTTGATTAGTAAGGATATTTTAGGAAAGAAAACACCTATTTATTACAAATAACTAACTTAGCTTCTTTTTTTAATCTCTTCAAATTAGTCAACTGGGTCTTATAATTAGGACCGGAGGTAGTATATCAGTTTATAAATTAGATTTAAAAAATCAATAAATATAAGATATAAAATAGATCATTAAGTAGGACTTACATTTACTTTAAGACCCTAACTAGCTCTTACATTTAAGCTAGGAAGAATATTAGTATGTCTTTATTATCAAACCTCCTCCTACATATTTAATTTTATCTAATGCATTACTTTTTTTTTTCCCCCCGCTTAGTATCCTTAACTAATTGTAAAATTTTACAACTAATTCGCTTAACTTGTGTAAATAGTTTTTATTGAGGGTAATTTCAAACGTTTACAATAAATAAATAATTTTAACTAAAAGTGGTAATTGGATTTTATAAAAAGGGGGAGTGTATATATCACAGATATCAGGAGAAGTTTGTATATTAAATAGTGCAGTTTAATTTGTGCAGATTAAATAGAGAGATCGTTTACTCTATATATGTATTACTTTATTTTAATTTTAACTTTTTTAAGGAAACAAAATAAAATAAAGTAGTAGGGTGGTTTATTGAAAGGAGAGGGACAAATAAGGAAGGCAAGCTGGGAAAAAAAAATGAAATAATGACTGATGAGAGATGAGTGAAAGTGAGACGTGAAATGCAAAGCCAAAATATGTAAAGATTTTCTGGCCTTGCTTGATAGAGTAGTTTTAAAAGAATATAATGAAAGCTTAGTCATTCAGAAGTGTTGGTTACTCTTAATAGCACTTTTTAAAAGTGTTTTTATATAAGTTGAAATAAATTTTTTTCACATATTTATTTTGTATTCTGTAAAATTATATTTAAAAATTATGGTTTGGTTTTTACCTAATTACCCCCCTCTTAGTCAATATTGATGATATATTTTTTTGGGTGAAATAAGAGTTTATAAATTATATTTTATAATATAATTAGATTTTTTTTGGTGTAGCGTCCTCAAGATAAAGAATTAATTAGCTAAAAAAATTCTCATAAAAAAATTTAAAAGGTATAGCTGTACGAAATCAAATTAAAAATTTATCAAAAGAAAATTACTTCATCTTATATTTTATTGTTCAATTTTTATGCAAGAGAAATTGGATTTTCAAAAATAGATATCGGGAAATGAATTTGGGGGATTGAATCTTCGCCAAGAATATAATACAACATTCCAAGCTAATTACAAAGACGATCATGGATTGTTCATCCTAATCTAGGTAATCCAGATTAATTTTGAATGATCCAAATTTAATTTGAATTCTTTCGATATCTTAAACAATTTTTTTTACTTTAATAGATATAGAATTTAAAATAAAAACAATTTTTATAACTAACACTTCTTTTGAAAAAATAAATTGATCATTAAAAATCACAAATAACAATTTTAAATCAATAAAATTTTCGATAGTTTAACTTGCATTACAATAACCGGCACATACAGTAGTGGTCATCGGCATTGAATGAGTATTCAAAATTAAATATTTAACATATGGGGAGAAAATTCTAGTTATTTATTACAGCGTACGCGTGCCTATATAAACTCTAGCAAGCTTTAGTAATTATGAGTCATATACAATGTATCTCACTTTTCAAACTCACTTTGGTACTCAAGACTCACGCTAACTTAATTTAATGCCCTAAACATTGAAAAAACATATAAAATCGATGCAAATGCATGAACAATCCAACGGATTCCAATTTTTCATAATATAAATGATCTCGACTTATTTTATATATATTATTTGTCAAAGTTCTTCATTATATATATTCTTTGTCAAAATTCTTCATTAATAAAATCAAATATACTTTTTTTATATACTACTTTCGATTCTAAATATAAAAACTACTTGATTAATTTGAGTAGATTAAAGAAATAAGTTAAGTTAGTTATTTGTAATAAATATATATTATCTTTCCTAAAATATCCTTACTAATCGAGTTTATTAGTTAGAATTACTTTATTAAAAGGACTATCTTAAGAAAAAATGAATAAATACGAAAGATAAAATGAATTGGGATCTTATATTTAGGATTAAAATAAAAGTCAAATAAAATCTTATATTAAGAATAAATAGATTAATCGACAGCATGAATATCTCCTAAAGCAGTAGTAATACTATTTCTACATATGATTAGAACATAAACATATGCACTCGAATGAATCCTTAATCGTTCGTGATTGTTTGTAGACATGAAAGTGGTTTTTTTTTATTATATAAAAAGAAATGACCCAAACGCTATTATGAAAGTGCTCAATTTTAATAATAGAAAAATACTATATTGTCTCCATTTTCATATATTGAGGTGGGTTAATAAAATATTTAGTTTATCAAGTTTGCCTTCATTTTGGTTTTGGTCCCTCAAAAGGTAAAATAGTTCAAGTTTTTATTACATTATAGGTACCAATATTTTAAATGAAATGAAACTTGAATGACCAAAACCATATTATTTAAAACTTAATGAATCAAAACCAAAATAAGAATAAACTTAAAAAAATAAAAATTATATTAACCCTATTGAGAATCAAAAAAACGCTTAAACATTACTCCTCGTGATAAGCTTGATGAGCAAGGTCATTCACAAAATTACGCAACATTAATGATTATCTTTTAAGCAAAATGGATGCTAAACTAAACACTTTGAAAAAGGTTGTATTGTTGAGTTTCAGTCCAAGTCATGATTTTGAGGGAAAAAATATATTTTTAATTTTGGATGGATGTTTGGATGAATAGGAAGGAAAATTTTGATTTTCAACAAAAATTTCTTTTTTCCCCCGCTAAATCTTGATATGGATCAGTTATATCCCTCTTACCAGGGGAGTAGTTAGTTTTGGTCCTTACAGTTTCATAATGACTTGATATGAGTTTAACAAATTATTCTTATATTTTTACACAAGTTTTGATTTTGATCCTAAGAACTAATAATAACATTAATTTAATATATTTAAATATTATCGTCTTGAACACGTTATACTTTCTATTGTAGAAAGTTTGAACTAATAATATATTAAAATATAAATTAAGAATAATGGAAGTATCTTTCAAATACATGAAGTGGCAGTGATCAGTCACGGTCACGTTATACATTAGGGCTCAAATAAAATAATAGAGGCGTCCAAATCACGTCAAACGAGAAAAAAAGAAAAATCAGTGTCGTCAACGGGTCTATTTTGTTTTGGCCAATTATTTTGGAGCAGAGACGAAGTCCAAATTGACACACTCCTCTCGTTCTATTTATTCCTATAGAATAAAAAAAAAAATTTTATCTTATTTATAGGTATTAAAAGAAATTTTTTATGTAAATGTATAATTTTAGCGTTCATTTATCATTATACTGATTTTATTTATATGGGGCATAATATATATTAAATAAGGATAAAATTAAAAAGTTATTAAATTTTAAATAAAAGTTAATAAATTTTAAATTTTTTTTTAATTTGTGTGAAACATATTAAAAATGAGTTATAAATAGGATGAGAGGAATTGTCTTGTTCTTGCGCTAGACGACAAACGGACGACGCCGAATCGACAGTCCTTCAACGCTGTTATCGCAAGGACGCTACGTTTCAAGCTTCGTCTCATATGATTTCACAATCTCGTGCCCTGTATGATTTCACAATCTCGTGCCTTTTTTTTGGCCAGCAGACAATCTCGTGCCTTGACCTTAAGGCTAAAACGACAAAACATTTCAACCTAACTAATTCACTGTAAGTATTACTTTTCTTACTGCCGGCTTTCTTGGAATCTTTTGGTGCGCTAGCATAATGTAACTATCTTCAAAGATAAAGGCTAGCACTTGAATTCTTATATACTTAGCTAGGGGGATAGAGCCAGGAAAAAAATGGGAGAAATTGAATATAATAACTAAAAAAATCTTACGATGAGTGAGCAATAGAAATTAATAAGTTGTAATGCAGAAAATAATAATAGGCTTATGCTGGTAGCTTGTTGCGTTATTGAAATTTCTTCTAGTTATATTTATTTCTTAGGATCTTATAATGATTTTCCCCAAAAAGAAACAACTTGGAGGGGCGAACAGCAAAATTTAAATTATTAAGGGTAAATATGCATCCAATATTTTGATTTTATCTCTTAGGTCAGCTCCATACTTTAATTTTTTTTAGCGATACAATTTTATCTATAATCTTTTTTTTTCCAGTGCTTCTAGCATCTCACTATTGTTTTTAGTACATCTAGTATCCTAAGGATTAGGTTATTAGATGCAATAAAAAAACTAATATCGGGATCCTATATGCATAAAAAAAAATAAGATCATGGATAAAATTATACATTAAAAAAAATTAGAATGTTGAATGTACTTAAAAAATAAGATCAAGATGCTGGATATATTTTGGTCCAATCATAATTACTTTTAGGGAAAATTAGTTTGCCAATCCTTATAGTTTTACCTGATTTTGAATCAGATCCTTGTAGTTTTTTTCTTTTTTATTGAATCCTTATTATATTTTTTTGTTTTGATGGAAGTCCTTCTGTTATAACACTGTTAGTTTAGGCTTATTGGCGCGTCTTCTCTTCTTAATTACTCAGCTTCTCTGATCTCTCTTCCTACTCAACTTCCTTCTCACTCCTCCGCCCAATTGCGAGCAATCTCTACTCTCTCTCTCTCTCTCTCTCTCTCTTCACAATCAACGTCTTTCAATTCTTGCCCGCCTTTCCCAATGACACCCACAGCGTCCCCATTCTTTTTTCTCTCTCATCTTCCATTCTTTCTTTCCTTCCTTTCTCTCTACTAGTAGTATCTTCATTTCCTTAATTTAATCATGACGTTGGATTTCTCCTCATGTATTTTTTATTATACCCATGTAGCCAACTCTAACCTTGTCATCGGTGATATTTAATTCTAGACATGTGCAGTTTCAAAATGGTACGTGAGAAATTTTTCATAAATAAATGTTCGTAAGCTCTTGACCCAAGTTCATGAATACATAGAGCGCATGTGGAAAAGGGAGAAATTGTTTCTCTTGGAAGAGCTTCTCATGGCGGTGAAGATGTAGAGAGAGAAAGAAAGGAGAGAGAGTGAGAATGGAAGAGTAGCTAAGAAGGAGATTGGGGGTGTGTCGTTGGGAAGGAGAGGGGGGAAGAAGACGATGATTACAGAAAGAGAGAGAAAATATTGATCAGTTGCAGATTGTATGAAGGAGTGGTGGAGAAGCTAAGCAAGAAGACGTGCCATATAAACTTAAACTAACAGTGTTATAACGGAAGGACTTCTATCAAAACAAAAAAATATAATAAGGATTTAATAAAAAAGAAAAAAAGTATAAGGACCTTATTTAAAATCAGATAAAATTACAAGTACTGGCAAATTAATTTTCCCTTACTTTTAATTATAACATTTTTTGGTCAAACTAAACACACAACATTAATTATAAATTATTGTGCTAAATTTTACGCTTGTATATACTGAGCTATATTTCAGACTCAATCATGGGCTTTAGACATATGGACCAAGCCCAGCCCGTATATAACTTAAACACTGTATTCCTTCTCCAGTTCTGCACATTTTTCCTTTGAAGTTTTGTTTCTACATTGGAAGACTTTGTTAAATTTAATCGTTTGGATTTAATAGTTTTTAAAAGTATGATTAAATTAATCTGCATTGTTAAAGTTTTATTTGAATGATTGGTAATTGCAATAAAGACGTAGTAGAGAAGCACACAGTAAAGAGAAACTGGACTCATCAAATATAATAACTTCATTATCAACAAAACCAATTTTTTTAGATAATTTTCATCTCTATATAGTTAACGCAATATCTGCCTTATATTGCCGCGTCCACTATATATAAATCAACATACCAGTATTCTGTGTGTACAAAATTTACAAATATCAATATTTTCTGTGTATAAAATTGATCAAGTTCTCCTCACCAATAAACTTTTAGAATTTACTTCCTCCCATTCAAATATATATGAGTTATTTTCAACTGATTCAAATGTATTTAAAATGTAAATAATTAAAAGCTAGCAAAAGTAAAATTGTTATAAAACTTGAGTAGTTTTCAAATTTTCCCTTAATTAATTACATTAACTTTTATTATGTTCAATCTTAAATATAAGAATTAGATAAATTTAATGTTTGTTTTAGTTCTAAATATAATATCACAATCTATTTTGCTCCCAAATTTGTAATTTTTTTTCAAAGTACTCCTATCGATTACATAAATTAAAGAGATTTACACCATAGAATAATTCTAATGCATATGATTAAATATGATAGTTTAAGAAATTAAACCAATACACATTTTTTTAATAATAACTAACTTAGCTAATTTTTTTTAGTATTTATAAATTAGTTATCCAATTTTTACAGAGAACATTGCACCATCATATTTTCTACTCTCTCTTGTACTACTCTTCATATTGCACAGTTTTCTATAGAGTCGATAACTCTTAAATATCTTTTATAATTATATAGAGTATATATGAAAAATATAATATTTCATACTGCAACAAACTAAAAAACATCTTATATAATTGAAGTTCAATATTTCACCATTAAGCTTTACAAATTTAGAAATGGTCCGTGTGTTTGTGTAAACCACTTTAGCGAGTTTCCATCCATTTTCTTAGTTGTTTAAACTTATTCTTCCTCTATAATGTTATTATATTCCTTTATCTTTCATTATCAGTTTCCCTATTTAAATAGATGCTTTGTCTATACGTCAGCCATCCCTCTTGACCAATTTAATAGGGAAATGACACTTGAAGACCAATAACAACCAAGGTTGTTGATGGGAATTAAAATTTGTCTGTTGATCTAAATCAAAAGATGAAACAGAAACATGGCCATACGCTTGTGTGTGTGTGTATTCTAAATCTGCTACCAACTAAGGTGTATTATGTCTGACAGAAAAACTTCATAACCAAAGTGGAAATAGGATTATTCTAAATTTCTAATTAACTTCCTTGATGTAGCACATCCTTGATCACTTTCTCCAAGTTGACGAATGAAAAACCGCCAGGTTGTGTGTTCTCTTCTGCAATTTTCTTCCACTCTAAACATTTTTGTCTCATCTTCTTCCCCTTCTCTCCTTCCATCAACTCATTCACAAGCTTCTCCACTTCTTCTCTCTTCACGTTATTGTCAATCTCAACCCCTATTCCCCACTCTTTGCATGCATACCTACAGTTGGTTTGTTGATCTCCAAAGAAAGGCCAACACGCCATAGGAACTCCTGCACAAATACTCTCAGTCATGGAGTTCCACCCACAATGTGTCAAGAAGCCTCCAATGGATGAATGGTTCAACACTTTTTCTTGTTCACACCAGTTTGCTACGAAGCCTCTTTCTTTAGTCTCACTCAAAAACTCAGAAGATAAAATTACTGAGCCACCATTCACAAGGTCAGGTCTTATAATCCACAAGAAGGGTTTCTTGCTATTGGCTAAACCCCAAGCAAACTCATACAGTTGTTCTGGGGACATAACTGTGATGCTTCCAAAATTCACGTAAATCACAGATCTAGGTTCTTTGTGTTGTAGCCAATCAATGCATTGAGTCTCTTCTTTCCAAAGACTAAAATTTAGAGACGCCAATTGGTTGTTATTATGTGGAGTTTGATTCAAAAAAGAAGGGAGAGGGCCTATTGAGTAAAGAGGAGGTTGGTAAATGGAGGAAAGAGCTTTCACTGCCTCACCTTCAAGCTCATCAAATGTGTTGAAACAAATGGCATGGGCTTTGTGAGATTTTTCCATCATTTCATTGAGAAAGTCCAAGATTAAATCATTTGGGTCTGTTGTTCTCACAAAGGAAGGCAGATCCTTTAGCTTGATATTTCTCATACCTGGAATCCAATCTATTTCTTTCTCCAGGTACCCATTTGTCAGATAACTCTCATCTGCACATTGAAATAAAAAAAAATCATCATATCCCTTGAATTATGAGACATACAGAACATTGAACCAAACACTATGACATGAAGAATAGTTACTCTGATATAGCACAGTAAGAGTATAATGATACCTTTAAGAGGTATAAGGCCTCTTTCAGCTAGCTTTCGAAAGTGAGCAAGGGCCAGGTATGAATAAGTACTAGCAGGCCAATAGAGAATGATGGGGAGTTGAAGAGCTTGAGTAGCTTCAACAGTGAAGACCATGCAGCCATCAGAAACCAAGCAAGTGACTGGGGGAATGAAGCCATTAGAGGCGGAGCGATGGAGTCTAGTAAGAAGGTTCTGGAAGGGAAGGGAGAAGTTCTTTCTGATAGAGTCACAAAGAGAGGCTATGTCTTGAGTGGCATTATCATCTGCAGGGGGAGGAAGACCGTCTGGGATGGTTTCAAATTGAAAATCTGGGAGTGCGTCAAGGATTTTGATGCCTTTTGATCTAAGCAAGCGTTTATGGTTGAACTCAGTGTTGACGAAGGTTATGAAAAAGCCTCGAAGATGAAGAAGCTTTGCTAGTTTCAGCACTGAGATGATGTGGCCTTGAGCTGGAAATGGAGTCAACACAGCATGTGGTTTTGATCCTCCTCCTGCAATAGAACCCATTGCTGTATTTCAAATCTCTCTCTCTCTCTCTCTCTCTCTCTCTCTCTCTCTCTCTCTCAATGTTGAATCTGAAGCTCGGGTTATAGGGATTAGGCAACAGGTGTATGAGGTTTTATAAAGCATAATGATGCGCAGACACCACAAACATTGTCGACAATGGTGGAAAAGTCCAACTTGAGCCGAAATGGATAATAGTGCGCTAGAGATTAGTCAATTAGGTTACCCGCAAATGAAACGTCAAAGAAAAATCATTTGTAGAAGCGATGGCCTTTGACTGATAAATTAATTCTACCTATTATCTTTAATATAAGAGCTAATTAGACATTTAATTTGATTCTAAACATAAAACTTCAATTCATCTTGTCCCTCATATTTATCTTTTTTTTTTAAAGTACACTTGCGTATACTAATGGTGTTATCAAATGGCAGTTTTAGCTAATACACATAATTAGTAAAGATATTTGAGGAGAGATAACATATATTTATTACAAATAACTAATCTAATAAACTTTCTTAATGTACTCAAATTAGTCAATTAACTTTATATTAAGTATTAGAAGTAGTGGGATAATATTGACTATGGATTCTGGATCTTGAATATTTGGTGCAATTTCGTATTATTCTTTGTATTCCATGATGAGGGGGTTTTTATTTTTTTTAAAAGAGAAAACTTACGAGTGTTGTATGTGAGAGAATGTGAAGAAAATGTAGAAAAAACTGTACAGCACACATACCGGATGTTGACAAAATAAACTTTAGACTCATCTAAACATCTTATAGATTATCCAAATTAATTTTGGACAGTACAGATTTAATTTAATTTTTTTAAAATAATTTTTATTTTAATAAATATATAATTTAAAATAAAGATAACATTATAATTAAAAAATTAAAAATGGTTTTATTATTTAAAAATTGGAGATTAAAAATTTTAAATCTTTAATGTCTACAAACATTAGAGTTTGGATAATATAGTTTTTATGATAACTATGAGCGCACGATGTTGAAGGTGGTGATGAGCTCTGACCGAATGCTGAGTTTGGATACTATTTTTGTTCTTATGTGAAGAAATGGATGGGTTTGGAATGAATTTGGCTTTGTTTACGCGTGGAAAGGGACGAAGACCCAAATGCCAGATTCATTGCACCATGAAACTTACAATTGATATCCATTAATAAATATAAAATTCAAAATCAAGACAAGAAAGCTGAAATGTCATTTTCCAATTGCTTAGGATTTTAATAGGGAGAATAAAAAAAAGAATTTGAAAATTGCGGGTTTGTTTAATTTCTTGTTCTGAAAATATATTTTATCAATAAAAGAACTTGCTCGGTAAGATTTTGTGGTTGTTTAAAAAAATAATATGTTTTAAAAAATTAAAAATAAAAAGAATTTTTCGATGTTTTCTTGTTTTTGTTTTATATTTTTTAATTTAAAAAAATTAGAAAAATTTTCTCCTTGTCTCAACCACCGCTGGCCGTATATCACCGTCGGCGACGCCGCCACCTGATTTTTTTGTTTTAGGTATAATTTGTTTAAAAGCAGCTCAAATAATTGAAGCATGAAACAAGAAAGAACAACGTCGTCACTTTAGTCGAAAAAAAAGAAAATCAACACCACAGTTACAGTCAAATATAAATATCTAAACAGATCTTTACTTGAACAAAACCATTTCAACTGCAGTTATGGAATATATAATCCAATAATTGTTATATTGAAGAAATAAGTTTTTATCATCATTTATTACAAGCAAATTTCACCATTGATACGATTTATATTGGATAAATCTGAACATGGGTATCTAATTTTTTTTGTTGTAGTAGCACATCCTTGATCACTTTCTCCAAGTTGATGAATGAAGAACCGCCAGGTTGTGTGTTCTCTTCTGCAATTTTCTTCCACTCTAAACATTTTTGTCTCATCTTCTTCCCCTTCTCTCCCTCCATCAACTCATTCACAAGCTTCTCCACTTCTTCTCTCTTCACATTATTGTCAATCTCAACCCCTATTCCCCACTCTTTGCATGCATACCTACAATTGGTTTGTTGATCTCCAAAGAAAGGCCAACACGCCATAGGAACTCCTGCACAAATACTCTCAGTCATAGAGTTCCACCCACAATGTGTCAAGAAGCCTCCAATGGACGAGTGGTTCAACACTTTTTCTTGTTCACACCAGTTTGCTATGAAGCCTCTTTCTTTGGTTTCACTCAAAAACTCAGAAGATAGAATCACTGAGCCACCATTCACAAGGTCAGGTCTTATGATCCACAAGAAGGGTTTCTTGCTATTGGCTAAACCCCAAGCAAACTCATACAGTTGTTCTGGGGACATAATTGTGATGCTTCCAAAATTCACATAAACCACAGACCTAGGTTCCTTGGTTTCTAGCCAATCAAGGCATTGAGTGTCTTCTTTCCAAAGACTAAGATCTAGAGATGGCAATGGGTTGTGTTGTGGACTTTCGTTTATCAATAAAGGGAAAGGACCTACTGTATAAAGAGGATTTGGGAAAATGGAGGAAAGGGCTTTCGCTGCCTCACCTTCAAGCTCATTGAATGTGTTGAAACAAATGGCTGATGCTCTCTGAGCTCTTTCCATCTCTTTAATGATAAAGTTCACCATCAAATCATTTGGATCCGTTGTCCTCACAAAACTGGGAAGTTCCTTTAGTTTGATATTTCTCATACCCGGAATCCAATCTATTTCTTTCTCCAAGTATCCATTTGTCAGATAACTCTCGTCTGCACGTCAAATCACTAAATCATATATTGAGACCTTCAAGGATGAAGCAGATCGAAGATTAAAACATATATGTCATGAAGAAATTAATAGTAGGATAATACCTTTAAGTGGTACAAGGCCTCTTTCGACTAGATTCCTATAGTGCACAGCAGCCAAGAATGAGTAAGTACTTGCAGGGCAAAGTAGAACAACAGGGAGACCAAATGCTTCAGCAGCTTCCACAGTGAAAGTCATGAGACAATCAGAAACCAAGCAAGTGACTTGGGGAATAAGCTCTTGGGAGGCAGAATCATTGAGCCGAGCAAGAAGGTTCTGGAAGGGGAGTAGGCAGTTCTTAGTGGTAGACTCACAGAGAGAGGGTATGTCTTGAGTAACATTATCATTAGCAGGAGGAGGAAGACCATCTGGGATGGTTTCAAATCGAAAATCTGGGAGCCCATCAAGAACTTTGAGACCCCTTGACTTGAGCAAGCGTTTATGGTTGAACTCAGTGTTGATGAAGGTTATGAAGAAACCTCGAAAGAGAAGGAGTTCTGCTAGTTTGAGCATTGGATTGATATGGCCTTGAGCTGGATAAGGAATCAACACAGCATGAGGCTTCTTGCTCTCTTGGTTGGAACCCATCTGTGTATTCTCTATTTCTTCAGCTTGCGAAACAAATATCTCCATATATAGAAAGAAACAAGTTTGACACAAATTTAAAAGAAGTATAAAATATATCAATTATATTTAGTGGTTCTGCATTTACGGCGGATAAGCAACAATTTAAATATCTTGGGAATGATTGTCCTTTGGAGAAAAATATGGTTACTATCTTGTATCTGAATATGACGACAAACATCGACATAAATGCTTCCCTGTGTGTGAGGAAACTAAGCGAATCAAATCCTGATGCACCGGAATGAGAGGTGCAGAACAGATTATGAACTCGTTTTGGATCAAGTGACGAACTCGTTTCTGACAAGTGGCAATGCTCGAGATCTTTTTTTTTTGGGTACTCCTCTATTCTTTAATATAAGATCTATTTAACTAATTTGATTATATTAAGGAAGTTAGTTAAGTTAGTTAATTATAAGAAAAGCGACTCATTTTTCTCAAAACACTATGATCATCTTTCTTAATATTCTCTTTCTCTCTTCTACTTGATTATGGTTGAGGGAGTATCTATAAGGGTAATTTAGAGAAAATTGATAAATATGAGAAACAGATCTTATATTTAGGACCAAAACCAATTCAAAAATTGAGTCCGGTATTAAGGACCCGAGGAGTATATAATTTTAGAACATTTTCGTCGTGAACTCAATTAATTTTGGACCTCCAAAACTTACTTTTCTAGTGAAAGAAACTAGTAATGAATTTTGGATCATGCATGATGAGCTTGACTTTTGATATATGTATAAAAGTGGTTAAATATTTCAGTGATTTTTACAAGATCTCAAAATTTAAATTGGTTTGGTTTTTTTTTTAATATAAGATTCTATTTAGGGATATTTGAACATTAAATGCTATTTATTAATTTTGCTTATAATTAATTTTCTGTTCTCTCTTCTCATCTTTTTCTCATATACGACATTCTCTTTTATCTTACTACTATTATTTCTCTCTTTCATTTGTCTCTTTATTAAATAAGGATATATTTAAAAAAATTGATTGTTACATATTTAATATTTTTAATTAATTTTAACTGTTTTTTTAAGTCATATAATTTAACTACAAGGATCTTATGAAAAAGGCTAGAAAAACTAACACGGTGAGTTCATTCCTTTTGGGGAATCTCACAGTTGTCTGATAAACATCTCATCCAGCATGTCAATGTGGAACTCATCACATTGTGCCCTGGATATATGCAACATCTTTTAGAAGTAATGTTTGATTTAAAATGTGTGTATATAATTGAGAAGTTTAAGTGTGAGTACCTCTCAATCTTTAGTTGTATTTTCTTGTTATATATTCTAAGATGTTTGTGAATATAAAAAAAAATTATTCGATTCAAATTGTAGGTCATCTAGTAATGTTAACGAATTCCTTTGGTTAAAAAAAAAAAAAGAAGTAATGTCAACTAATTTTTTTCTACGGCAAAAAAAGAAAAAACGTTAACTAATTCTTTCCAACTATATCTTTATACTCTCATGCCTTTTAATATGCTATGAGCCACATAAATAATATGTTTTGGGACCTCCTCTTTGCGATATCGTTAATCATTAGGGTACAATTAAAGAGAAAATCATAACAAAAAGATGTTAAAAATTGAAAAATTATATACAAAGACTCGTTCACAAAAATTGTTATCATTTGTTTATCGATTATTATCAAAATTCGTACTAATATTGTAATAGGCCCCTATTTACACTTTTTCAATTTTCAAACCTTTTTTTTTATAATGATTTTCTCAAAAATTAAAAACGAATCACATTTTCATAAGATTAATTAATGACAAAAGTACTTTTTTGGAGTTTTGCTCCCTTGCCCAAGTGGGAAAAATCTTCGTTACTTACTATTTCAAAACCAATCAAGGTATTTTTAGAAATATCATATATTCTTTTTTTTTTGGGTTACAAATAGGTATCTTTTTATTATAAGTAATTCTATTGGAGATATTATCATATATTGAAAGTGAATATAATCATATATGACAAAAAAGGATTGGGTTTAGCCGAGATCGATCACTTTATTAGAGGACAATCCAACCGCGTTAGATGGGCTGTTTACATTTTAAACATCCTTTAGCGTCTCTAACTTGTAATTATAGTTGGTGATGCGTGAGATTTTTTTTTTTTTGGGGTTAACATAGCCCTGTAGAATTTCATTCTTTAATGGAATTTCTCCTTTTTTTTTATTTAAAAAATCATTCTTAAACGCATCATCTCCAGTGAAATAGAGAGAGCAAAATGAAAAAAATGCAGGTGTCCTTCTCCAGTGTACGTAACAGTAACAGGTAAATCAAGTTGCTCGAGGTCTAATGGCCACGTCCATATAAATCATGGGCCTTTAGACACATAAATGGGCCAGGCCCAACCCATGCATATTCAAAAAAAAAACCACACAGTGAAAATGGAGAGAGATAGCAGCTACAGAAGCATGAACCTCTCTTTTATGCATGTGTATAAGTGATATGATAATAAGTAGAACACTGATTATAAGTAATAACAAAGAACCGACTGCACTCAGTAAAGTGCCCTTATTAATATAACCTTTCTGGAATTGCCCATAAATTTAAGAACAAACAAACAATCCCTTAACAAGTGGGTTTCAAAATCTTGAGCATATTATCAGTGACCTTCTCCAGATTCTGATAAGAAGAACCGCCGGGTCTGGCGGCCTCCTCCGCCTTCCTCTTCCACTCCAAAGCCTTCTCCTTCATTTTCTTCCCCTTCTCCCATGACCCCTCCATCACCTCTACCACCATCATCCTCACCTCCTCCCTCGTCACCACCGGCCCCACCTCCACCCCTATCCCCCACTCCACACACGCATACCGACAGTTCGTCTGTTGCTCAGCGAAAAACGGCCAGCACACCGACGGCTTCCCGGCACACACACTCTCCAACGTCGAGTTCCAACCGGCATGCATCAGAAACCCTCCTACCGCCTCGTGGTTCAGAACCTGCTACTGCGAGCACCAGCTTACTATGAGCCCTCTTCCTTCAGTTTCAGCCTTAAACTCAGCGGATAAAATCACTGACCCGCCACCGTCAACGACGAGGTCGGGTCGGACCACCCACAAGAAATGGCACTTGCTGGCTGCGAGCCCCCACGCAAACTCGTCGAACTGGTCGGAGGTCATGGTGGTGATGCTGCCGTAGTTGACGTACAAGACGGAGTTGGGCTCATGGGAATCAAGCCATTGGAGATAGTGATGAGTGTTGTCTTCTTTCCAGAGGTTGGACCCAATAATGGAGGAAAGCCTGTCACTGTGAGGGGTTTGATGCAGGAGGAGAGAGAGAGGGCCGGTGGTAAAGATGGGAGGAAAGAAGATGGAGGAGAGATAGTGGAGAGAGTTTTGTTCGAATTCGTCGAAGGTGTTAATGATGATCATGGATGCTCTCTGAGCTGCTTCGATCTCTCCGATGAAGTAATTGAGCATGATGTCATCTGGATCGGTGGTTCGCATGAAGCTTGGGATGTCCCTTAGTCTAAGGTTGCTGATTCCTGGGATCCAATCCACTTTGGTTTCCAGGAATCCATTTGTCAGATAATCATCACCTGCATAAAGTTACCAACACAGTTTCTTGACAGGTTCAATGATGAATAGTATGTTTTTAGTATCTCGCCGTATGGTCAACATTAATTAACATACTCCTCCGATCCTAATTATAAGACCCAATTGACTTATTTGAGAAGATTAAAGAAGTAAGTTAAGTTGGTTATTTATAATAAATAAGTGTTGTCATTCCTAAAATATCCTTGCTAATTAAGTATATTGGCTAAAACTATCATTATTAGAAGGATTATCTTGGAAAAAAATGCATAAATATAAGAGACAAAATGGATTGGGGTCTTATAATTAGGACCAAATAAAAAGTCAAATTGGGTCTTATAATAAGGACTGGAGGAGTATATACATAACATAGTGTGATGTCACAATTTCAGGATTACACGTGAAATCTCTACAAATTTTCTCGTGTTGTCCTGGGAGTACGATTCCAATGCTTTCTTTTTAGATGCTTTTCCTTAAAAATGACTGTGTCACTGCTCGTGGTGTCAAATAGAATGCGACGAAGTTATGAAGTCTCAAACATTGAAGATCTATATACACGTGGCAGGTCAAGGTTATACATGTATTGCGTCCTCCTCCGGTTAGTAATATAAGAGTTGGTTAATTAATTTGAGTAAATTAAAAAAATTAGATAACTTACTTATTTTTAATAAGTAGATGTTATTTTTCTCAAAATATTCTTATTAATAATGTATATTAGCTAAAATTATAATTTGATAAAACCTTTAACACGTGCAAGTACTGCAAAAACTACATTAAAAAAATAAATAAATACGAGAGAGAAAATAAATTTAAGTTTTATATTTATAACCGAACTGGATGTTAAACTAACTCTTGTATTTATATTAAGAACTGGACAAAGCTTAAAGGTTATATATATTCAACATGCGTCAGAAAGTGGAAAAAACGACGAAGGATACCTTTGAGCGGAACAAGACCATGATCTACAAGATAGCGATACTGAGCATACCCCACAAGACCACAAGCACTTGCAGTCCAAAACCAGACACTTGGAATCTCCAAAAGGTTGGCGGCTTTCACGGCAAAGGTCATCATCCCATCAACAATGATGCAGGTCACGGGAGGGACGTGGCCGGCGGAAGCAGAACGCTGAAGGCGAGCCAGAAGTTTGAGAAAGGGGTCGAAGCAAGTGACAGAGATGGAGCGGCGGAGAGAAGGGATGTGTTGGGTGGCATCGGCGTCGGAGGGAGGAAGGCCGTCGGGGATGGTCTCGTAGCGGAAGTCCGGGAAGTTGTCGAGGGCGTGGGTTCCTCTGCTTCGGAGCAAGCGCTTGTGGTTGAACTCAGAGTTGACGAAGGTGATATGGAAGCCTCTGGAATGAAGAATATTGGCCAGCTTCGTCATTGGGTTTAAGTGCCCTTGAGCTGGGTACGGAACCACCACTGCATGGGGTTTAGCTTCAGATATCGAAGCAGCCATTGATCTCTCTCTCTCTCTCTCTCTCTCTCTCTCTC